ATTGGTGAGGGTAGTCATGTGTGGCAATAATTTGATGAACAAAACTACTCTCCATCCCTCTCTTAAAAATGTGCTCTGCGACGATTTTGCTGACAAAGTTCTTTCCCGATCCCGTCCAGCCATTGAAGGAAAGCGCCAACGCTTTACTGGGAGACTTGTTATTCAAATGCCCTACAACTGCCTTTAAGACAGTATCTGTGACTAAATGTTGTCCAAAAACACGTCTTCGGAGAGATGATTGCAGACCAGTTATGTTCGGTGCTAACCACTTCTCGGTGCAGCATTCCTCGATCTGACAGTACACTTTACGTCCAAGGTAAGCAGCCATAGGAACTGCAACAATTCCAATGGCACTTTCAATCAATAATGCGCTTATTTGAGAAAAAAATAACGATGTTAGCAATAAAACAAGCTTCAGTCTCTCCATTTTGAGCAAAATCAGATGCCTATTCCAAGAAAATATCTTAGAACAATTATTATTGGTCGGGCACTTAAATGGACCAATGAACTTCGTTGTTAGAACAGCAAACTACATGAGCGGCTACCAAGCGGTGGTTTTCCGGGAAATACGCGCTTTGTGCTCGGCGGAAAATTTATGCACTTTTCTATATGTTAGGGAGAAAAGCAGAATTTGAACTTGTAAGGAAATGGCTTCTTCAACATCTGATGAAAATGGCACTGGTAAAGAGTCAACAGGGGACACCGGGTTAGACGAAGGAAGGGAAAATAATGAGAGTGTTGACAATTCTGAAGAGGGCTCAGAAGAGAACGTTGAAGAACATGCGGGTGAAGCTCTCTCGTTGCCAGAAGTGAGCAAGAATGTAAGCAAGAAAGAAAATGATGTTCAGATCGAGAACCCGAGAGATAGCGAAAAATTTAACGACATGGAAGAGACTCGGTCGAAACCAGATTTAGGGAACATAGGCAAATCAGTGGGACTTCTTCTTGGCACTGCAATTTTATGTGTGCTAGTTGCTGTCTGTTTTTATCGACCCCCTGAGCGTGAAATGAAAGGTGACTTCGACTTGGTGAAAGTCTACGGAAATGGCGTCGACAAATTACAACTATCATTTACCAACCAGACTGAAAGATTTTGGAAGATTTTAAAGAACCGTGGCTTGGCGCACCTGAGAAACAATGATCCTTCACAACCACTGGTATTTCTGCTGGCTGCACCGCCCCCAGCTCATGAGTGGGTAGATTGTCTGGCCACTAAACTTGCTGAAAAGCTAGATCCAAGACACAAGAGAAATTTAGCCAGAATTAATGGAGCTGATGAAAAAGGGTACCCAGCAGACCAGACCAAGAAAAAAATGGACGTCTATTTGAAGAACAAGTTTCGGGAGGACCACAGAGTGGCAGTTATTTATCATCTGGAACTCCTCCCACCTCCATCACCCCTGTTGTTTTACTCTTACTGTGATGATCAGAATGCACCGCACAAACACGTAGCCATAATCTTTACTGTGCATTTACCAGAAGAGCCCAGTTTATCTCTGTCTCCAAAGGAGGCAGAAGCAACTGTTGAGAAATACCTTTCAAAGCAAGTTTGGTTAAAGGATGACATGGATGCAGTTGCTGCTCTTTTAAGCCGCATTGCGGACACAGTTGTTCTTATGAATGGTGAATCAAGCGATTCATTGAAGGCTGACTGTTCTTGAATTATTTTGTATTTTAGAATAAAGGGGAACTAGAGAATGGCAGCTTAACTGCAGTAAAGAATACGATATAACTATATAACCAAAGAGTAATACAATCAGTTGAACGAAAATGTTGGCCGACGGCTAATTGATTGCCAGCATTTGTTGACATAGTGCTTCAAGCCTGTTGTCAAGAGGAGTCAGTAATAATTTGAATGAGTGTCAGTTGTGAAAGACCATCTTGTATGGTGATGCTAGTCATTGCATCAGTGGTGTATTATGCTGTGGTTTTTTACCAAAGAAAACATACTTCAAAATTATTTTAGGCAGTTCAAATTTGCCTCTTAAACTCTGTGATAGGCAGACGGAATGATTGTTGAGAATAGAATTGTTGTTTACTTTTTGTTACCAGGCGGCTTTGGGAAGGCTGACTTTTGTTTATTTTAATGCTTACAACATACTTATTTCGTGTGTAAAAGCCTAAAACTGGAGCATTTAAGTTTTGAAGTTTTAAAAACTATTTTTTGTGCTGTAAAATGCCTTTTGGGTTTCTTTTCTTTTTTGTACATAACTCTTGTAATTTTTAACTTTGTAATTTCTAGACAGAAAATATCTCAAACTCTTTTTAGCCAGGGTTAAGGTGTGATCAGGTTTTAGTTTTTTTTTCCATTTTCTTACCTACAGTGGCTGTCCCCATGGTACAAGCACCAGTCAAAACCATACTGTCCTAACAAAGCAACATAAAAGTATTTTTCTTTGTGGTTTGTGGCAAAAGTAGAGGAACAAGGTATTTTCAGAATAGCATGACCACTATCCTACCTTGTTATACTCAAAGAGCAAGTTTGCCAGTTGTGGGTGACCCAGTTCTGGTGGCAAATTGAAAGCATAGAGGTGCAAAATATTTCATATTTTTCATTTATTTAAATCTGTTATGATTTCTGGCATTTCAAATCTCTTTTCATGAATACGCTTTCCAGTCTAAAAAGTGACCCAACTTAACTGCCTCTTTTGTGAACAAACATGTAACATCAGGACAGCACAGATTTTCCCACCTGCCAATTGCTGATTAGTAAATTCAAATTTCAGAGGCACCAGGTGTATTCAAGGTTGTGAAGAGCATAGAAAAACAAGAGTGAATCCAGAAAAATTAGAACCTGATCACCCAAGTTAAACTGGGAAATACTAAAAGTTAGTTACGTTTTAGAAATAATACAGATGAACTTTCTCAGGCTAGATTGATGGGCTGATTGTGATTCTATTTTTGGACACTTAAGGGAGCTGTGTTCATGGTTTGCACTGGACAGTATGGGTTCATGTCCTCATCATGGCAAAATTGGGGGGCACTTCCAAATATATACATGTATATAAATATAAAAAATTGTTACCAGAACTCTCAGGCCAACAAAGGTGTCACAACGTCAGGAGGATCAGTAAAGATTCCCATTCCAAACCTCACAGCATAAACGAACGTAGAGAGTTAAAAAATTGTGAGGACGGACAACTTCTGACGTAAAAAAGAATAAAAAAATTAATAAAAACGTTTCGTTCAGAGACCTTCAGTTATTACGACCTTTGAATAAAAACGAGCTTTAAATAAGATTAAGGTGCTAATGATTACGTAATTACAAGTGGCAACTAATAAATATACAAAATCACGTGAAAGAGCAGAAAGTGGTGCTAATTAACAAAGGACAAAAAACAAAATCAACAAATCGAAAAATATTGAATGAATCGAAAACAAGCTACTATGAAAATAATCGGCAGAGTATGAGAGATAAAAAGTAAAAACTAAAAAAAACAAACTGGCTAAAACGAATAAAATAACCGAAGAGGCAACGCGGCAAGGATTAGAAAAAGTTAAACTATCCCCTACATATAACTGAAAACATCAACTGTACCAAAATCCCAAAACGAGGCCTTCAACGCCTGGGCCCCTAAATAATATTAATCGTAATAAGATCCCTTGACAAGGCCTTTGAGTCTAATCAACACCTAAAAGGCTGACAAAATCCAGGAAAAGGGCCTTTGAACGACTAAACAGTAACGTACAATATAGGAGAGGAAATTAATTATAACAAATTCTGTTTTTCGAATGAAATTCCTTTTAT